AGACAATAAAAAATTCAAATTTATATAATCTACGCATTGCGTGGGTAGATGACTAGTTAATACAATAAATTTATTATTTGCACTATTAGTTATTGCAAAATAAAGAAAACAAAGAGTTTTTTTAATAATGAAATAAATTACTATATGGTTATCAATTATCGAATAAAGAAAATAAAAAGTTTTATAATTTGATTTCTTTAAATTAGATAATTAAATAAAAATGTTAAAAAAAACAGAATTCCACATCATGAACTAAAACTTAGTTAGGTGATGTGAAATCCTATTTTTTTAAACATTTTTATTTAATTATCTAATTTAAAGAAATCAAATTGAGACGAGCATTGTTGTAGCGAAGTGAATAAAGTTGCCCATAAACTTGCTAATTTGGCTATGAATGGGGGAATTGGTCATCATATCCTATATAGTCTTCCTATTGAGGTGGTTTACTTCATGCGTTGGGATGTTTGAAGGCGTGATTTGGCCACGTATTAGACATGTAATGTCTTAAATTTGTTTGGTTTAAAAGTCTAGTGCATTTTTTATTGCAAATTATTTTTGCAATCAAATTGGAATTTTTTTTTTCCCCTTAAGTTTCCTTTAAAAATTAAACTTAAAGTGGTGACTCTTTTAAAATGGTAATTGGACGAGATCTCATAGTTGGCGACTCCAATGGGGAGTTAAAATATTTTTCAAAAATTAAGAGGATTACTAAGTAGTAGAAATTTTTTTTTTTTTTCAAAAGCAATATCTTGTTTGGCTTGCTATTAAAATTGGATTTATTTTCCTGCATTACTTTGCATAAAACTTTTTATCTAAAGCCTAGAAGCACTTAAGCACTATTAACAGGTATGGAGCCAGAATTCAATTGATAAAAACATAAACAGAAGATTCATATTATTACAAAACACAGTCCCTGGACCTGTCCATTCAAAATCCTCATTAAATTCACAAAAGAATTGATTACCTTGTCTGAAATCCAAACGACTTCATTTGTGTATGCATAGAGCCATATCTCATCGGAAATCCAAACAAAACCCCATTGGCAGTCGCCAATTACATCGCTGTTATCTCCAGAATTTCAGGATTGTTAGGCAACAGGGGGAAAAAGAGAAAGAAGGAGAGAACAAACAAGGGGAAATGAAATGAGGGTATTTCAGGCTTTTTTTTATATTTAATGATAAAAATATTGACGAAAAGACATAATTGGATGAAATCAAAATATAGAGAATAAAGTAGTGTATTTTAAAACATATAAGGATAGAATAGTTAATTCTAACATAATAGAATAGAATAATTAATTTTAGTATAATATAGAAACATGTTTATAATTTTTCCTATTAAGTTTCACAAATTTTGTTTCGTTGGTTGTTCTTGTTATCCTGGATGATCAGCCAGTTATGTCGCGGCCCATGGAAATGGAGTGGCCGAAGTTGGGTCATTGTCCTCCGTGCCATCATTCTTTTGCTGTTCTTCTTTGTAATTAAGAAATGTAATAATTTATTAAACTATGATGCAACTCGGATCAAATCATATGGATTCGATCCAGATCTTATTTAATTGCTCATTCAATGAGTATTACAAACGATTTTTGGATAAGTTAGCTTGTGCATTTACATTTGTGTCTTAGTTACAAGTTCGAAAATAATATGAATATTTAGGTTCCATTTATTTCTGTAAAATAACTTGTCAAAAAATATTTTCATGAAAAATATTATTTTTGAAAAATATTTTTTAAATGATTTATTTTCCATTGTTTAGTTATCATATTGAAAATTAGTTAAAAATATTAAAGTATTTATCTCATAAGATCATAAAAAATATTAATAATAATAGAAATTTCATACTCATTGAAAATTAGTTAAAAATATTAAAGTATTTATCTCATAAGATCATAAAAAATATTAATAATAATAGAAATTTCATAATTTAAAAATTTTATAGTTAAATATGAAAAGAATGCAACAAAAATATATAAATTATGAAAACCGCCGGTGGCCGGTGGTGCTAGCTTATGGTAGCAACCGATGGTGGTGGTCTGTGGTAAATGGTAACTGGTGGTAATGACTATGATGATTAATAAATTAAAAAATATGGATTTATAAGGTTTATCGATATCCGGAAAATATTTTACTCTCTCGAAAATAGGAAGTTGTTTTCCTTAAAAAATATCTTCATTTTCCTTTGACTAGGGAAATATTTTCCGTTAACTTTTTTTTTTTGAGCGCCTGAAATAACGAAAATTGTGAAAATTATTTTTCTACAAGTTATTTTACGGAAACAAACGAAACCTTAATTTTTTTTTTCTCTTTTTGGCTTTTGAAAATTTTGATAATAACTTAAAACAAAATTAAAAAATATTAAGAAAATAATCAAAATATTTAATATAAAGTGCACTTTAATCCAACGTGCTAAAATTCAATGTATAATTTTTTTCATTTAAAAATATTTTTAATAATTTTGTTAATGAATACATATAAAAATAATTCAAAATTATTATTTTAATTCTAAAAACACTATAATACATATTGATACATAAATGTAATTTTGACGCGTGTCCCAATGCAACATAGATGGGTGCTGAAACGTAGAAGGTCGAATGGTCCGAGCTCAGGGGTGGCCCTTTTACGATTTTCCAAAGCGAAATTACGGGTTGGAAACCATTAGGAATTGAAATCGGTCAGAATCGAAACTAAAATTAAAGGTCTGTGGTTTGATTCTTATTTCAATTTTTAAGGAATTGTGAACCGGTAGTTTCAAGAATCGATTGGAATCGACAGTTTTTCCAATCGGTTGGAACCAGCAGTTCCACTCGATTCCAGCAGTTTTTTTTATTTTTTCAAATATTTTTTGCCTAAATTAATTCTTCTAACA